TTATTCTCCCACACCTCACTTCCCTCAGTCCTTTATTCTCAAGCTGAGGTGTCTGCTGAGAAAAGCCGCTCCGCATGTCCCTGGTCTGCTGGGGGGGCCCGCTAGCTTCGCGTCTCTCTGCTCTGCTGGGGGGAAGCAGCTAGTGCGGGGTTGCCTCACCCCGTTTGTAAGTAGGGATCCGATGTAAGTCGGATCCATGTAACTCGGGGACTGCCTGTAACCACGTCTACACAGTGTTTTTTCTCTCGAAATAGGGTATTTCGAAATAGCGGTCGGACGGGATTATGGAAATGAAGCGCGGGAAATTCAAATCCGTGCTTCATTTGCAATTTTGCTCAGCTGCATTTGCATTCCTCTCTCGAAAGAGTAACGCAGTGTAGACATAAAGGTAGCAGAAATCCAGATCTAGCTCTGTCTTTCATATTCATTTTAAATAAAGAAGAACAGGTGAGGCTCTCTACCCACAATCCTGCAAACACTTACTCACGTGAGTAATTAAGCACATGAGTAGTTCTCATGAAGATGATGGGATTATTCACATATTTAAAGTTGGGCATGTACCTGAGCATCTGCAAGACTGGAACCTTGAATCTTCCCTTTGCGTGATGGACTAATTTTCCATTTTAACACTCCCAGCCAATTATCGGCAGTCATTTGGGGGTTGTCTTTTTTTGTACCGCTTTTCCGAGCCAGACCGATGCCAAGCTCACTGAAATCAATGGCACCAGGAAGGTCCATTATTACCATTATTCCAGTTTCGGTCTCCGATTGCTCCAAGATACCAGTGAAAACTAAAAAATGCCGATTTGTTTCTGTTTCTTTAATTAGTAACAAAATGAGAACATTTGGAATTTGATCAGTTATTTTACACGTAAAATATTGGAGTGGTATTTCTCCCTCCTCCCACTTTTTGCTTTTTTTTTTTAATTTTTTTGTTTCTCTGTAAAAAATACACATCTGGTAAATGAGATTTAAAAAATAAAATTAAAACAGTGAACACACAAAAAATCTGTGGATGCACTTGAATACTGGCTTTAACATTTCAATTTCATAAGCAAAAAAAACCAAAACAGCACACGATTTAAATATTGACGTCATGGAACATACAAAACCTCTCCAGAGAAAGGCCAGAACATACACTTAACTCTACCATGGCTCAGATTTGATACACAACAAACAAAAAAAACAAAAAACAAAAAAAATCACTTCATCTCTGGTCCAAAGGCCAGCGCTAGTTTAGTTAGTAATAGTAATACAAGAATGTGAAAGGATATTTCTAACGTATGATCTTAAAGCGCATCAGAGTTTAAACAGGAAGATCCAGCAACAATCATGATTTGATTCCGATAAGGAGACAATATTCAGCAATTGTGTCTGAGGCATCCAAAGCCGAGAGTGTATCGGAAGCTATTGATCGGGTCTTCCCATTTTGATTTCCTGCCTTCACTTTGTACCATGATGTGGGGCTTATCATGGAATTTGAATCTTTAGAGCAAAGAACATTCCTGTGATGGAACATTCCCAGAGAGTTCGAAACAACACAGAACTCCCATTTCTCTGGTGAACTGTCCCTCCGACACGCCGCTTGCTGTTTGCCTTCCAAAAGCCGGAACAGGAAGATAAATCATCAATCGGTGCCACACTGTTTGGTTCCTTTCTGTAAATCCTCCATCCTTCCTTTTTTTTTGCCTGAAGTCCTCCATAGAACATTACAAAGGAAGGGTTTATTTATATACACAAAGGGAGAAGAAACCATGACAACATCTGCAAGAAATGATACTGGCCTGACTGGTCACCAAGGCCACCTATTCATGATGCTCCAAGACCCATTTAGAATGGCTCAGATTGATACCTTCACTGAGAGATAAGAGGGGAGATCTTGCTCCTTGAAAAATGCTCCCTGTAAGGAAGCAGCTACTGGTAGGTTCGTTAGCATGGCAGAAGGGAGATGCATGACTGTAACAGCTATGTTTAAAAGTGCTACATGGGGTTTTAACCACACAAGTCCGCAGGAATTGCATGGCACTGAAAAGGTAGGGATGGGGATGGCGATATTTTATTGCAACTGTAAACAAATTAATGATCCTTTACCCAAAAACGGGCCACATTCAGCAAATTCGGTGGCATTGCCCCAGCAGTGAATTTGGACCTGAAACCAAAAGCTACTCAATTGTTAACTCTGAGATAAGAGCAGTGTGAAACTTGATGCAAAACTTGACACCACCTGTAGCTACCTAGTATTGGAGTTTTGATAGAGGCTTGGAACACAAACGTGAGGTGGGACCAGCCCTCGAAACTCATAGACGTCACAGATTGAAATGCAGCCCTGGTTTGCACAGTTTATAAAGCTCTGGGGGGGAACCGGGCCCAGTTTTGAGGGAGCTGAAGGAGATACAAGAGGACTCGCAGCTTCATCCGGTTTCATGCCAAAATCAGATGAACAAAATCAGCCGTTGGACTGCATTTTGATTTCAGTTTTGGGGCTCTGCGCAACCCCACTCCCCAACTCACTGATTCTGAACCCCAACACTCAGAACCAGAATTAATGGGGTGCAGTTTTTGTTCGGATGAAAAATGTTCTTTTCCTCTCTATTTTCCTTACACGGTTTTCGAGTTTTGGCCAAAAATAAAATAAACCAGACAACCAATCCCCAAATTAGAGGGGCAGGTTCAAAGCCCAAAAGGGACCACTCTGAATAACAAAGGCCCTAGAACGCCCCTGAAATAATTCCTGTGTGAACCACAGCAGCTTTTTGAGAAAGGCCGCCCCTCTTGGTTTAGCATTGTCTTGGATACACCTTAATAAGCTAGTCCAATGGCTAGTGATGCTTACTGTTGAGGAGATACACCTTATTTCCAGTCGGAAGTTGCCTCATGTCAACTTCCACACGTTAAAAAACAACGAATAGTCTAGCAGCACCTTAGAGACTAACAAAACATGTAGATGGAATCAGGAGCTTTCGTGGGCACAGCCCGCTTCTTCAGCTGAATGGAGCCAAGTGTCCAGAGGTACAACTAAAATACGTGCACACATTGGCTCTTATTACACCTTCGCTAGATGAAAAAGCCAACAACCCTGAAAAACCTTTGGTGGAAAAAGTGAAGATATGGGAGGATTTGGCCAAAATGTTTGGTTACTGGGGCAAAGAAATCATTCCTGCAGTAATTTTCATTTTGAGGAACAAGCGGTGTTTGATGCGGAGCTGTTTCAACTCCGTATTGACCTGCTCTAGTCAAACTGACTCCAGTTCTCTCACTCCCGCTCACCTTCCCTCCTGCAAACCCCATCAGCTGTGCATCAGCCAGCCCCGTTACGTGGTTTTCTTTGCAGCCAACCTCCCCCGCCCCCCCCCCCCCCCCTCCAGCCATACCAGGATGTGCAGGGGTGAAATTCATCCCCTGGTGTCACTGGGACGAGAAACAAGGTCCCAGGAGTTTTAATTAAGCACAGGAACCATAGCCGAGCTAAAGGAATTCACAAAGGCTGGGATTCGATCCCTCCCCGGCTCTGTATTCAGAGAAAGAGCACCTCAGTTTGATCTTTGCAGCTCCCCTTTGCATGGCTGAAGCTGGCGGGGGAAGAGAAGGTGCAGGGGGAATACGATTCTTGGTGCTTTTTTCCATATGCTTCTCCACATGGGCAGCGCGAAATGCAGGCAAGGGAAGGTATTGCCTTTCCCAAAATTACCTACACATCCTAGTTGCCTGTCTTCCCGGTGGTTGGGGAAGGTTGGGGCCATGCCACAGGGCAGCCCCCTCCCTCAACTAGGGTTGGGAAGGGTTGGCTCGGAGGCGGGGGAAAAGGTTGTGAAGGGGCATGGTCTCCGGGAAGGGGTGTGGCTTTAGGTGGAAGGGGCGGGGCTTCAGCTGCCTTTCCTAGCTAGGCCTTCATCAGCTTCTCTATGCTTCTAGGAAGTGAGCTATTTAGCTCCTTCCCAGTGTCAGGATCCGAGCTGCTAGTGCACAAGCGTGCAAGGGTACAAGAGGAGCCTTCCTCACATCTGGGACCCAGCCACAATCCCAAGAGAATAAACTCCTGGTTATCCTGGTTATCCCTACATTACCTGAACCCGTGCACTATCCAAACCCAGTTGTGCCTCAGTGCTTGGAATCGGGGCAGGCCCACAGTTTGATTGGCGGAAACCGAGCTTTGCTTGCAAGTTGTGTCATGAAGGGTAGTTTGGGAAGAGGGGAGAAAGGAAGAGTTGACCTGCAAAGTGAGCCAATTAGATGCTGCCGTTATTGAGGAAGAACTAATGGGGACCACAGAGATGTGATTTTTTTTTTTTTTTTACACTCGCTGGTAAAAACGTAGCTCTCCTTCAACACGCAGGGGGAAAACTGACAGAGGAATCAAAGCACTAGTCTTTGGGGACCCATTACCCTGAAGAGAGAGACTTGTCAAGGCTCCGTTTGAAAATCAAAGCAGCACGGGAGGCTCTGGAAATAGTCTATTAATGACTTACGAGGAGAAGGAGAAGCCGCAGGGGAGATTATCAGCAAAGTGCTCTAGTCAGCATTGCTGGGGTCTTCATTCCAGACTGGTTCCTGGGGACCCACGTCTGCTCACAGCACGGGGGGGAGGGGAGAGGGGTGCAAAGAGGGCAGTTGCCCTGGGGCCCGGTGGTGGCTGGGAGTCCTAGGCCCTTTAAATCACCGCTGGAGCACTGCATGGAGTGCTCCGGGTGGCACAGAGGGCTGGCTGCCCCGGCCCCACCCCTTCCAGGATTACAGAGCCAGGTACACCCCCTAACGTGCTCAGGGACATAGCAAGTCTGTTAGCCCCTCCTGCAGGGCTGGCCTTACCATGAGGCGAACTGAGGCGGCCGCCTCAGGTGCCAGATTGTGGAGAGGCACCACTAGGACCCAGAGTGTAGAAAATTGTGTCTGAGGCTGGTGCAGATGTATTCTCTCTGTTCCAGATGCACCGAGATGGTGGAGTGCTGTGCTGGAGGAAGGAGGGCACAAGAGACACAACAGGCAGGCAGGAGAAAAGGTGAGAGGGAATCAAAATTTTGGCCCAAGTGAGGGAGCATGGGGGCATCATTTGAGCTCCCTGCCTCAGGTGCCAAAATGTTGTGGGCCAGCCCTGCCCTCCTGTGAGGACCACAGTTATTGGGAAAGTTGGAGGCTGCACAAGACTGGAAGAAGAGAGTTTCTTTATGTCAAGCAATTAACAAATCCATGCCACGAATCCATCCGGCGCCAAAGGACACATCAGGCTGCTATGTGGCTTTGACACCCGGAGAAGGGTTTTATAATGCCCTGGAAGTGTCCTCGCTCTGTTCCCGACCAGGTCTGCGAGTCAGCCAAAGAAGAGACCAGCTCCACTCAATCCGGCTCTTACAGTGAGTTCAGTGCTCGGACAGGACACTCGGGTGGGGGGAACTGAGGCAATAGGCGTGAAGCAGAAGTCCTCACTGGAGCGTTTAGCTAGGGATTTCACCCCCAGCGATCAGTGCCATCGTTCATGGAGATCCACAGAGCCGAGGACACACCAGGTGGGCCGGGGCTGTGGGAATGGGATTGAGGGGAATAAAGAAACCGGCGAGGAGAGTTTGTGGAGAGGAGAATGAAATCTGTCGGCATGTATTCAAAATACCCCATCCTTGTCCTATCCCCGCACTCGCCAATGGCTTCTAAACAAAGAATCCACTGGGATATGAATCCTGTTCAAAACTTGTCTGGAAGTTTAAGTTGTCGTCCCAGCCCAAAAAAGGCGCTGGAGCCGAGTGCATGTTTCTGTGCGTTTCAAATTTCCACCGCAAGACCGTGGAGTCAGATAGTTCATCCTTCTGCGTTTCCATCCCGTGGCAAGTGCGAGGCAGACGAACTTCTCATCTCAGTGGCAAATCCTCTCCGTCATTTCCTTCTGCATGGAAAATGAAAAGAACACACAACACAAGGTGATTTATTAAGGCAGAAGGACAGCCCGTTTGGCAGATCTGCTAGGATGAAGCGCCGTCTGGAAACTTCCTGCTAATGGAGCCCTGCATTCCCCAATGCTGCCGCGCTGGCATTTCTCACCAGAGGTCAGCTCACACTCAGCCTGCTCTCTCTGGCTTGCTGATGGGATTACATTTCAAAGAGATAAGAACTGAAACAGCTTGCAAAACTAACCCCATTCATGCAAGTTCATTCAGGCCTCTTGTGTGCCTATTTCGGATGATTTAGAATCATCGAGCTGGAAGAGACCTCAGGAGGTCATCAAGTCCAGCCCCCTGCCCAAAGCAGGACCAATCCCAACTCAATCAACCCAGCCAGGGCTTTGTCAAGCTGAGACTTAAAAACCTCTAGGGATGGAAATTCCACTCCCTCCCTAGGGAACCCATTTCAGTGCTTCACTACCCTCCTATTGAAATAGTTTTTCCTAATATCCAACCTAGGCCTCTCCCACTGTAACGTGAGACGATTGCTCCTCGTTCTGCCATTCCTCACTACTGTGAACAGCCTTTCTGTATCCTCTTTGGAACCTCTCTTCAGGAAGTTGAAGGCTGCTATCAAATCCCCCCTCACTCTTCTCTTCTGCAGACTAAACAAGCCCAAATCCCTCAGTCTTTCCTCATAGGTCATGCGCTCCAGCCCCCTAATCATTTTGGTCGCCCTCCACTGGACCCTCTCCAACGTGTCCACATCCTTTCTATAGTGGGGGGCCCAGAACTGGACACAATACTCCAGGTGTGGCCTCACCAATGCCGACTAAAGGGGAATAATTCTCTAGCTCTACTGGCACTGCTTCTCCTAATGCAACCTAATATGCCAATAGCCTTTTTGGCTACAAGGCGCACTGTTGACTCATATCCAGCTTCTCATCCACTGTAATCCCCAAGTCCTTTTCTGCAGAACTGCTACTTAGCCATTCAGTCCCCAGCCTGTAACAATGCTTGGGATTCTTCTGTCCCAAGTGCAGGACTCTACACTTGTCCTTGTTGAACCTCATCAGATTTTTTTTGGCTCAATCCTCTAATCTGTCTTGGTCACTCTGGACCCTATCCCTGCCCTCCAGTGTATCTACCTTCCCCTTTAGTTTAGTGTCATTCACAAACTTGCTGAGGGTACAATCCATCCCCTCATCCAGGTCATTAATAAAGATGTTGAACAAAACTGGTCCTAGAACAGATCCTTGGGGCATTCTGCTAGAAACCGACCGCCATCCTGACATCGAGCCATTGATCACTACCCGTTGGGCCCAACAGTCTAGCCATCTAACCAAAATCCCCTTATTTAGTTTTGAAATAAAAGTTCTGAGGAGGAAAAAAAATCTCTGAGCAAACCATTTGGGTTGTTGTTTTTCTGTGGGGCACATTCTCATACTTTCCTTCACATTAAATTACAGCAGATGGCTCACTTGGATCACCTGTAAAGTACCTTGCTTCTTGATCTGAAAAAGGCTGTGAAAATCTAGCCCTAAGAAGACAGCAGTGACCCCTAATTTCTGGTACAATAAGAAAGAGGAGTGAGTATTGCTTAAGTACCTTATTTCTTCCTTAACATAGCAAAGAAATGAAGTCCCTTTAGGATGCATGTGTTTAGATAGGAGACATATGCACGTGCTTAATTGTGTCACTGAATCACAGCTTTAATGTTTAGAATCTTTATAGCCTTGCAATTGTTCATGAGGCATAGACTGTGCTGAACAAATAACCAAGCTCCTGCTCCAAATAGCATAATCCCTGAGCTAATGCCCACTGAAATGAACGAGGGTATGTCTACACTATGGGAAATACCAGTGCTGCCGTGATTGATCTTCTGGGGTTTGATTTAGCAGGTCTACTGAAGACCTGCTAAATCAAACTCAGAGGGCACCCCCGTCAATGCCAGTACTCCTGCTCCTTGCAAGGAGTAAGGGAAGCCGACAGGAACATTTGTTCTCGTTGACCTGCTGCTGTGTGGATGGCGATTTAAGATATGTCAACTCCAGCTATGCAATTAACATAGCTGGAGTTGTGTATCTTAGGTCAACCTTCCACTCCAATGTAGACCAGGCCTGAGTCTCTTTTCATGGACATCAATTGGCTTTGGATCAGGCCTTTCAAATCCCCATGTACCCAGCGCTGGGTTCCTCTTGCAAGCGGGCAGCTGCCTTCCAGATCAATTAAAATCAGCTGGAGTGGAAATGTTTAGACATGGAGCATGCGGTTCACACTGAGCGTTTCTTGGACAATACTGCAAAAACTGTCTAGATCAGCGGGCACCAAAGATCCCCTAACATGTTTTCATAAGACAAGGGTTTGCCGTGCTGTCCATATACAAAAATTTCCTTTTCCTCCACTTGGGTACAGCTCATGAAGGGACAGGGTCCAAATCCAGTTGACATCAACAAGAGTGTTTCCATTGAGTTTAATCTGAATTGTGCACTGATTGGCTACTGTAGTGGACTCAGAAGCATCTGGACAGCTGTGGTGCCTACGGTAACCAGATGCCCTGATTTTTTAGGGACAGTCCCTTTTGGGGTTTTGTCATATATATAGGGGCCTATTACCTTCCACTATCATCCCGATTTTTTACACTTGCTACCCTAGTGGTGCAGGAGGCAACTTTGGGATGGAAGGCCCCTTTGTAAATGTGAATTACTGTTAAACCTATGCTGCTCCTTCCAAACCACTGTTGCATTGTGATGCATAGTTTTTGTCTACGTCCTACACGCACAACCTTTCAATCTCAGTGGCAGGCTGGTGAACTTTTATAATCAATCGGGCATTGATCTTCTCTCTCTCCAAGTGCTACACAGTTTCCAACAGGACAACAGCTGGGACCGGAGGACTGCGGGTTGGAAGCAGCTAGAAAAGGGCTGCTCATTTAGGACAACAGCTGGGACCGGAGGACTGCGAGTTAGAAGCAGCTAGAACAGGGCTTTGGTAGGAGATTGGGGACTAGTTGAGAGCTAGTTCTGGTCCCCAGGGGAAGGAAAGGGGTTTGATCGGTGAGACGCAGGACTGAAGCTTTGGTAGGAGATTGGGGACTAGTTGAGAGCTAGTTTTGGTCCCCGGAGGAAGGAAAAGGGTTTGATTGGTGAGACGCAGGCCTGGGCACCTTTAGATACTAAGGAGGGACCGGGCAGCTTTGCCTCATGACCAAATCCAGTTGTTAAAGTGATCATAAAATACATATTTAGCAAGCTCACAATTTGCCTTCTTTAAGAAGCAGCCCAGAAGGATATCACTGCTAAGACAGACCTCAGAGCTGGGCTGCTAATTAGCGCTACAAAATATATCGCTTGGGGGAAAAGAAAAATCAGTATGCAGAGTTGCCCCTTTTAGGAAATAAATGCTGATCATGGAGAGCTAATTATTTGCTAGAGGTCTATTGTCATTAAAATAAGGTCATTATTAAGCTAGAAGAAATGTTATTTATATAGTGGGCACGCACAGACATTCAATTGTCATTTCAGAATGTTATTTAATAATCACAGAAGAGAAGACATTTTCAGAATGAAGGTTCTCAATTCATTCTTAAAGGGGCCTTAATAGATGGCAGAACAAGGAGCAATGGTCTCAAGTTGCAGTGGGGGAAGTCTAGGTTGGATGTTAGGGAGAACTGTTTCCCTAGGAGGGTGGGGAAGCCCTGGGATGGGTTCCCTACGGAGGGGGTGGAATCTCCATCCCTAGAGGTTTTTAAGCCCCAGCTTGACAAAGCCCTGGCTGAGATTATTTAGTTAGGGTTGGTCCTGCTTTGGGCAGAATGTTGGACTCAGTCTCCTGAGGTCTCTTCCAACTCTAGGATTCTACGATTCTATGAAAAATAAAAAAAAAACGCTAAAATTATAAAGCCTAAGGCTGCGTCTAGACTACATGGCTCCGTTGACAGAGCCATGTAAAGTAGTTTACTTGGCATAGTCAAAGAAGCGGGGATTTAAATAATCCCAGCTTCATTAAAATAAAAATGGTCGCTGCGCTGTGCCGACAGTCAGCTGATCCAGCACGGCGCGGCAGTCTAGACGCAGTGCAGTCGACAAAGGAAGGCATAAACTGAGGCATACCGGCACGGCGCGGCAGTCTAGACGTTGTCAATCGCGCCACGTCTAGACTGCTGCACTGTGCCAGATTAGCTGATTGTCGGCACAGTGCGGCGGCCATTTTTATTTTAATGAAGCTGGGATTATTTAAATCCCCGCTTCTTTGACTATGCCGAGTAAACTACTTTACATGGCTCCTTCGACGGAGCCATGTAATCTGGACGCACCCTAAGATTAGAGAAAAAGATATTTGATGTCTTCCCTTTTACCAACAAAACAGTTTCACAGTCTCCCCTGTGCAGATGAGCCTAAAACAAAAGAACAAGACAGCAGGGAAAATACATTTTAAAGAAAAAGAGAAGATTGTATGATTGTAAGAATCACAAGGACAGAAAGAAAGACTGAGGGGCAACTGTGATATCGGGGACCACTTTCTGAAAAAGGCTAAATGCCACCATGTCCCTAGAAGTCACTCCGTGCTGCTAAATATTATCACAGGATGATCAGTGGATGATTTACAAGCCATCTGTGTGGCAATGCCACCCCATGTAGTTCAAAATCAGAAGCCAGTCCCACCACAAAAGGAGACTTTTTTACAAATCATGAGATTTAAAACACTAATAATCTCTTTTTAAAAATTTACATTTTGAGCCGTTAGGTGTCGAGTTTTCACGCTTTTCTCCACAACCAGGAGGGCTAGTATGAATGTGACTTTTAAAAAAGAGGAGAGACTTTCACATAAGCACATGACTCCCGGAAGTGGGGTTTTAAGAAAACGTCCGTAAGTATCATGACTACTAAACCAAGGTGGAGGGAAAAGTGTCTGGCTAATCTAGCTGTTCAAGGCAGCCAGTTGCAAAATGGCTGCTTTACAATGGCAGCTATTTGTGTGCCAAATTTAAAGGGCCCGCTCTAGA